GCTGCCTGGAAAAGTTGCGGGCAAACAGATTACGGTGTTAAGAGATACCGGCAGTTCCACTGTTATCGTGCGGAGAAATTTGGTACGGGAAAGTGAGTTGACAGGCAGAACGAAACCGGTTTGTCTAATTGACCGTACGGTTCGGATGCTTCCCGAAGCAGAGATTGAGGTTGAAACCCCGTACTTCAGCGGGAAGGTTACTGCTTTATGTATGACGACCCCCCTGTATGACCTTGTCATCGGAAACATCGACGGGGCGCGAGGGCCGAATGATCCAGAACGTTTGGGGGAAGACCCGAAGATAGAGCCCTCGCCAACCCAGCGGCCGCGAGATACAGTGGAGGAGCATCCCGTGACGGATCTCACTAGAACCCAAGGTGAAACTGCGGCGCAAGAGACAGCGAAGGAGAAGACGATCGTGTCGAATACGTTCACGGGCCGAGCAACCGGACTTACGTCGGCACGACCTCAGCCGACCGACAGTGTAAAGGAGACGGAGTTGGCCAGCCGGGCAAAATGTAGAGGCATGATCAAGCGGGTAAATAATCAGACAGGACCCGTCGAAAGTAATGACGCGTTAACGGTGTCGGAAGAGACAACGATGGCTGAGACGACGCCTCAGATATCGTCGTTGGAAGGGGCTCGCCGAAAAAGAACGTGGAAACACAAGAAGAGATCGAGCGAGCACCGCAAAAAGGGGCGCAAGCGCTGCTCGAAGTACTCAGGATAAGTGCTGAGGTCGAATCAGAATGTGTTGGGCAGTGCTGAGTGCCATACGTTGTGTTAATGTTGTGTTATCCTGCGTCACAAGTGTCGAAGTGTTGTGCTGTGATGTGATGTATAGTATTGTACCATTGTTGTAATGAGAGAACTTTGTACATTTGTATTGTTGGGAATGTGTGGTGGAGTGTTGTACTCATGCGCTTGTGGTTGTGTTTTCACGTGTTGTGTAATTGAATTACAATGTCCAATCGTATTAAGTGATATATTGTGAATGTGAAGTGTCATGAGCGACGGATTGTGTTACAGTCTGTGAGAATGTGTGGTGACTGTTCGCGCTCGTTTGTGTGGTTTTGAATATTATGAGATAATATTCTTAAAGTGGGGGGCAGTGTCACAGAACGAGCGCTAAAAAAGAGCGCGCCGCCAAATTCTTGCGACAACGGGCGGGAAAAACGCCGCGAGGTCAAAAAAAAAAAGAAAGCAAACGTCCGAGGCTCCCCGGGCGCGCGCTCTCCCCGCGGAAGCGTGGCGTCGCAGACGAACCTCCTCACCCCGCATCGGCGGCCCAGCAAGCCCGCGATTTTTCTAGAACGAACGGGGCGGGGTCATACCGAGTTGAATCATCCTCCGGGGAGGGCAGTCGAACCGTCTCGCACCTCTCCCCAGCTTTCGCTGCGTATCGCGCCGACGAAATGACAAGAAGCCTCTGGAATGTCGCGCGCAAGGTATTTAACCGCGCAGCGGAGATGAGAGATCAGGAGGAGACGGAAGTGAGCGCCAGAGCGCGTAGGGATTCCGCCGTGTAGTCGGCGAAGGTTTTTGTCCGTAGGGACGAGGCCGGAGGTGAAGAGGATTTCCACCTGAGGGGTGACGACTCGAGCTACCGGCAAGAGTGTGTGTTTACCGCTATCGAGCGAAGACGCGGGGCAACAGCTGCGTGTGTGAAGCCGACGTGTTCCGGCGAAGAAGTTGAAGTTGGAAGAGTGGCCAATTGAAGACGGGAGGCTTTCTGGAAGAGAAACTTCGAGAGCTGCGGAACGACAACAACCCTGGACTTTGAGTGGGTGATTCTCGGAAGAGTATCATCTAGACTTTGGTTCCAAGAACTTTGGACTGAATAGGTTTTCTATCCCTTTAGTCTTTGAGTGTCTTGGTTGTTCAATGCATGCGACTGCATTGTAGTGTGTATTGTTGTCTGTGTCCGTTGTTCGAGTGGGGCTAATTGTATTGTGTAGTACGTTGATTGATTGGTTTGATTGGTGACATATTGTATGTAACTATTGTGGAGTGTGCATTCTTGTGTATTGTTTTCGATCTGCCATTTTGAGAATATAATATTTGTTTTGTTTATCAACTCTCGGCTCTAACTTGTTCTTTGGACCACAGCCGGCGTCCACTGGCGCGCCAAAAAGGATCACTTATAAATTGTCCACGCTTTCGTGGTGCGGTTCGGGGGGCCGATACTTCGGCCCTTGGAATTAGCCCGGCGATCGCCTCCCTAATAAACGGGACGGGTGTGACATCTGGTGAATTTTTCTTTGACAAAAGCTTGGATACCTGCGGAATGGAAACTGTCTAAAGTGATTCCACTTCTTAAAAAGCAGGAAAAAGGATTCGCCTTGGACAATGTAAGGCCAATATCACTCACGTCGAATCTGGTTAAGCTAATTAAAAGAGTTCCGAATGCCCGGGTAATGAAATATATTGATAATAACACAACATTACACCCCAGTCAAATTAGTTTTAGATCCGGTTGCTCAATATGGTGTGCGCATGTTGATTTAGAGAGCCGAATACAACTGGCTCAGCGTCAGCGCCAATAATGTGCATTAGTTACTCTAGATTTGGCTAAAGCGTACGATAGGGTTGAGCATTCCATTTTATTAAAACAGATGGAATATCACCACTTTCCCAACTACATCACTGCGTGGGTGTCGGAGTTTCTAAGAGGGAGAGAATATTACTGCTTTAAAGATGGGTACTCGTCGAATAGATATACGCAGACACGTGGCGTCCCACAGGGTTCTGTCCTGTCACCAGTTTTATTTAACATTTTCTTAAGCTACATTCCATCAACTAAGGATATTCAGTTATATGTGTACACGGACGATATTGCTTTCTTTGCAAGTAATACCGACCTTCAATCCCTATACCAGAGTCTACAAAATTATCTTAATATCATAGAAAGATGGCTTAAAAACATTCATATGACCCTGAACGTAAAGAAAAGTGTGCTCCTTGCATTCTCTTTTCTGCAGCCTATCAACATCTCGTTAATGTACAGTAATGAGCTCATTCCGCAGGCGAATTCCCTTAAATATTTGGGCATCATATATGATGACACATTAAATTGGAGAAGTCACATTGATGATCTGTACTCCAAGGCAACACGGGCCATGGGGTGGCTACGGAAGCTTGCAAACCGTAAAGCGGGTTTAAGAAGAGATGTGCTAATAATGATATATAAACTTTATGTGCGGCCCGTCATGGAATTCGGATGTGTATTATTTTCTGGCAGCGCAGCCTATAAAGCGAGACCCCTAATACCGCTGGAAAGAGAAGCGTTGCGTTTGTGTCTGGGTCTACGAAAATTTGTTGCAAATAACGTGTTGTATATGGAAGCTCGCCTACCTTCTCTGCTAAATAGGTTTAAAATTCTTACTGTGCAGGCATTCTTAAAGATATACAGTTCACACCAAACACTCTCATTTTACGCTTTCATTCAAGAACCGGCTTTATTTTTCGAAACCCATTGGTCGCGACTACCCACCCCGCAAATAGTATTTGCACAAGCGCTACTACAGCAATTGAATGTAAAAATTAAACATATTGGTCCAATACACAACCTGAAGTCAATGCTTAGCATACAATTTGATGAAATACTTCCTCATAACGCGAAAAAATTGGCACATAGGTATTTAAATGACCAGTTAGCAGATTATCTAGCTCACCTAGAAATAAGCAATATCATAGCGACTGATGCATCTGTGTCAAAAGAAAAGGCTGGCGTTGCCATCTTTTCTCCTTCTTTGGACTGGTCCTTTTCGATTCGACTCCCAGATTATAGCCCAGTATTCATTGCAGAACTATTGGCCATTGTTCTTGCCCTACGCAAATTGCCCTCAAGCGAATCATTAGCAGTTATCATTACAGATTCGTTATCAGTTTGTAATGCACTTTCTGCGGCACTAAATGTAGAGCTGATGAATACGTTTCGGCATTTAGTACCGAAAAACGTAAAAAAACTGCATTTGCTATGGGTTCCGGGCCACCGCGGATTATATTTGAACGAAATGGCGGACTCTTTAGCAGCAGTATCCCTGGGTGGGCCCACCATCCCAGTTTTGCCAGATACGGCTTACGTGACAGCGCTAAGGTTCCGAAACGCTTGTCTGCAGTGGGGAAAATGTAATTTGAATAAATTCAAAGATTTCGAGCATTTGAGCTATTGCTGGAATAAACAGTGGTGTGTGTCTCGCCAGTTAGAGGTCACTTATACCAGATTGCGCTGTGCAGTTCCTCAACTAAATTATTACCTTAACAAAGCTCGACTCAAGACGTCACCGCTATGCATTTGGTGCAACGAAATTAAAACAATTGAACATTTCTTCTTATTCTGCCGTCGTTATTCTTATCAGAGAAAAAGATTTTTAGTAGCCCCATTACAAAAGCTAGGAATACAAGTAAATCTACCAGTAATCTTATCACTTGGCGGAACTTCATTTGGTTACTCCCACAGGGATGTATGCTCCACTGTGTTTGATTACATCAATGCAACTAAAAGATTACCGTGCTAGTGAACCCCAACCTTTTCAGATTTTTAGTTTATAATTCGTAGTTATGTCTATCAAAAACAAGAGATTGTTTGACCGCTTGCTCAGCAAATAGTTTTTTTTTGGTAGAATTATTTTTGAACTACTTTTTCAGATTGGCTTCATTTTCATTTTAGTTTCATTTAAGTATGCTGCCGCCCGGTTCTTGGCCCATCCCCCTCTGTGGGTGAGCGCCATCCATAAGAGGTCATCATCATCATCATCATCAATTTCTGTTCGGCTACCTGGTGAACAAAGAAGCATAAACAGCTCTGATAACAGCCTCCATATATTTTGCATTCCGAGTGAAAAATATGATTCTGCAGCTGTTGGCTTACTCAACAGCTGCTAACAAATGTCCTGGATACAGTTCTCTATTACTATTATGTAACATACAAGTTGTACACACAAAACGAACTCAGCCTGACAGCCAGAGCGACGGCCAATTAAGCAGCGGGCCCGCACCTTTAGAGCCTCCTCGGAGCGACCAGCGTGGATCAGCCACCTCGGCGAGTCCGCCACGAAAGGCATCGAGATGACCACCACCAGCGGGGGCACAATGCAGGCTGTGGCGAGCCACCGGTAGTTGAGCCACTTGCCCAGCACGTAGGCGAGCAGCACGCCCGACGTGATGGCGATGGTGCACATGGTGTTGAGCACGCCGCGTATCTGGGGCGGGCTCACCTCGGAGACGAACACGGGCAACGCCACTGCGGTGATGCCCGTAGAAACGCCCGTCAAGAAGCGGCCAAGGAACATGACGATTGGTAGCGACGTAGCCTCGATCAACAGGAAGCCGATCGCGAAGCCAAGTGACGAGAAGATGATGGTGTCCTTTCGACCAAGTCTACTGAGCAGCTGGCCTGGGTGTAGCAACGAAAACATTAGGGTACGCCAGCGGCACGGCCAATTCCGAAATTGCAAGCTATTAGAAAGGGATTTATTCACTGAGTCGCGATTGTGGTAGCTGTGAAGCACTTGAGCATCTTATTAGATCGTTCCAGTGACCTACAGGCAGCGCAACGGTAGGTCAAAATGGCGGACGAGACGGTAATGAGGCGATCTCGCAAGCGTGCGCGTCTGGACTAGCAAAGACAGTACGGCCCTCTAGTTTCCCCGCAGACTATACTTTCCCTCGCTAAAGAGAAGCAGACATGTTTGAATGAAGGCAAAGCAATCGGTCACATCATTTGCCCGGCCACTTAGTCTTCGTGAAGGTATGGGATATGGCATAACGGGAGCGTTGCCAACAAGGATAAATATATTTCCCAACAGTTTTGGGAGGGGTCCTCCCTTCATTAGGGGATGAGTTATACTAACATGAACTTCCAAACTTCGTTGCTGCCACGTCCCTCTCGCTTTGAAAGATGTTTGAGAGAGTGAGAGAGAACTAAAAGAGAGAAGAAAAAAAGTCCGGTTTCTCAAACAGGCGCGAGCGCGAACAGCGTGAGGCATATTTTATTTTCAAATTTCGAACATTAGTAGCCGGCATCAACGAGAACCCCGGAAGACTCTCCTGCCTCCGAGAAGTAAGCCAGGAGGAAATTGGTGACAAAGATTGTTAGCTGGAGACCATGCTTATTTTTTCTGACTGACTCGTACGTGTACACTGTCCTTTCTTGTTTTTTTTTCTTTTTCTTTTCGTTTTTTAACTTCTCTTTTTTCTTTCTTTTTTTAGTTCCCTATCACTCTCGCAAACATCTTTCAAGGCGAGAGGGACGCGGCAGCAACGAAGTTGGAAGTTCATGTTGTATAACTCATCCCCTGATGAAGGGAGGAGCCCTCCCGAAATTGTTGGGAAATAAATATATTGATCCTTGTTGACAACGCTCCCGTTGTGTTATATCCCATACCTTCAAGAAGACTAACTGGCCCATTGAATTATTACTCCCACTGGCATTATATATATATATATATATATATATATATAATATATATATATATATATATATATATATATATATATATATATATATATATATATATATATATATATAATATATATATATTGTAGTCCAGACATTGATTAATTGATTTGTGGGGTTTAACGTCCTAAAACCACCATATGATTATGAGAGACGCCGTAGTGAAGGACTCCGGAAATTTTGACCACCTGGAGTTCTTTAACGTGCACCCAAATCTGAGCACACGGGCCTGCGACATTTCCGCCTCCATCGGAAATGCAGCCGCCGCAGCCGGAATTTGAACCCACGACCTGCGGGTCAGCAGCCGAGTACCTTAGCCACTAGACCACCGCGGCGGGGCTAGTCCAGACATTCAGACGCCGTTACAATAACGCTTCTTATACTTCACTTTTAGTCTGTAGTCTGTTGGTTTAATTAGGATGCCACACAGGGAACACGCGTTCGTGGATGCGTGAGTGTAAAGTGCAGCAGACGCTCACCTCCGACGAGTCCACCGAAAAGCGCTCCCAGCGTGACCAGAGAGCCGAACCAGTCGCCCTGGTTGTCGCTGAAGGGCATGCGGCGCCGGATGTCGGGCAGTGCCGGCGACGAGTAGCTGAGCGAAAGGCCAAACGACGCCCCGCTCATGCAGGCCGAGCACACGGACAGCACGAGACGAGAGCGCCACGGAGACCGGCCATCGGGGGCGGTGAGCGCCCGCGTATCCTCCTCCATCTCTTGACGACCCTGCACTGACGAAGAGAGCAGTTGGGAACGCATCGTGGAAGGCTAGTCAGTGGGTTACGTTGGGTCTACAGAAACTAAGGCTATGCTCCGCTGGAGGCGGAAATAGTGTGTGGCATCTCTGAATTCCCGTGCAGCGCAAATGCCTGCACGGAGATAACATTTACTTGAAGGGACGTCATAGCGAAATATTAGGTCAGGCTAGATTGCCCATGTGACGCTTAGAAAGTAAGTAAATGCAAGTCGGGTCACTTGCCCGGGAACCATTGTTTTGGGAGAGTCAGAAAACAATATAGTGTGCCATATACAGTAATAAGGGAAATGCTTTCTCCAGTTTTCCACCACTGAAAACACACACAAAGATGTCTATAGTATATAGACACTTTGTATAAGCCACTGGAATGTGAAATCGGTCAATTTTTGCAGGTGAGATAAATGTATTCTCTGCAAAAATGCTAGTACGTAAGATCAGGCGGAATCTCTAAAGTACAGGCCGCATTCTCATTAACAGCCTTAAATATGCAATTAGTTGTGATCAAAGAAGCTCTGAATCAAATCTCTCAGCTTTCGATGTAATGTGTATATCACACTTTGCTGCCTCAAAAAGATTTTGTCTCCATCAAGTGTAAGCGGCGCCAAGGGAACTTATCGCTGACTCCGAGTGCTTTTTCTCTAATTTAGTATTTGGGGTGTTGTGACGTTAGACACACATATAACAATGCACAATGGCTAAGCGTACATATTGAAAAGGCAAGCGCAGAGTGAACAGCGAGTGAATTTAAAGTGAATCAAAGTGCGTTATTGTCAATCAAGAGTACATGTGATTGTGGAGCTCACAAAGACTCACTCAGAAATTGTGGAGCTCACAAAGTTCACTGAGGAAATATGTCTCGTCCTTGGGACTCACGCGGACTCAGAGTCGCCAAGAGTTTCATCAACCAGACTCACTCGGACTCAATCAAGATTTCTCAGCTGCACTCACTCCAACACACACACACACACACACACACACACACACACACACACACACACACACACACACACACACACACACAAATAAATACTCACTCAGACTAGGACTCGCACTTTGATCCGAGTCTGAGTGAGTCTGGTAAGTCGGCTCATGAGTGAGTTTGCCGATTTACGAACAACCGTGAAACAGTGTATTAAATTTAGTTCAAAATGAATAAAGTGATGATAGTAATGTGTGGTGCTTTAAACGCCCAAACCGTGATGTGATTAGAGGCCCACCGTACTGGAGGGCTCCGGAAACTTCCACCACCTCCTGTTCTTTAAAGGCGCGTTTACACCAGAGCGATGCGACAATAGCACGACTCAGACAAAGACACGAGGCAGACGCAGACCATAGGCCGACGAGTGACCCACCGACGGATTCACCAGACCCCCTGGTCACACTAGGCCTACGACGAAAACGACGCCATAAAAGGCAGCGTCATCATAGTGTAAAGGCGCGTTTACACGAGAGAGACACGACATTGATTTTGGTTGGCCGACTGTCTTTTGCCTTGCCGTCGTCATACTTGCACCTCAACGACACAAGCAGTCCGCCTATGGTCTCTGAAAGATTCTGTCCGCGCCTTGCCATGCTCACAGCCTTTGGTTGGCCAGTTCTGTAGTCATACTGGAGGAACACGGAGCGACACCAACTAAACTTGCGCACCTGCACCTCATTTTCAGCTGTGCTCCCTGCTCAGCCATTGTCCATCTCCGGCTACTCGGTGCAGCCCCCACCATTACCCGCGGTGTCCAGGGACGGGGATGCGTAGCTACAAAAGAGAAGCGAAGAAAGGCTTCCGTGGGGTGCGCAAGACGGCTATTGACACGTCGCGGAAGCCTCAGAGAGGGCATTGTTATCTCCTTCAAAAGTTCCCCCTTCATGGTCGTTTCAAGCAAGGACACGGGGAAATTTTCGCTCGGTCCACGGAGGAAGGAAAGGTAGGAGATGCCCTGACGTCACTCGTTGTGAAGCCACGATGAAGCCGGAAGTCGGCCATATTGACTGGGCAAATTCTCCTCTCTTGTTTACATATGAATGCGAAGCAGAAGGTGCGACTCCCTCTCCTTCTCAAAAAGCACGTGGCCTGCGCGCCACTTGCGCCGGTGCAATCCGAAACCAACGGAACGGATTTCAACACGCTGTCCTGCCACGATACGGTTGGCAAAATCTCTGCGTATGGGTGTTGTACTCTTGCACTGCCGGCGTTTACGATAAACGCGGCAAGTTGCACGTTAAGCTTTTTTTATTTGATGTATTCTTTGTGAAAATAAAGATGATATTTCGGACATTGCCGCGCGACGAACCAGGCACCGAAATTTGTACAGCTCCTTTCAGATGACTTTTTCCCCCTTTTGCGCTTCTTTTTAGACTTTATGAGAGAGAGAGAGAGAGAGAGAGAGAAAGAGAGAGAGAAACGAGAAATAAGGAAGGCAGGGAGGTTAACCAGGTGCTAGTATCCGGAATGCTACCCTACACGGGGGTTGGGGAATAGGGGGTTGAAAGAGAAAGGGAGAGTAAAAAATAAATCTAGACTTTATGAAATTTTCGGTCAGGCTGTGGGCTAGACAGTTTCGACGGACGCTGCAAATTCGGAGTACGTATACGCGCGCTCGTTCCGTGGTTTCTAGTTCAGACACCTGGTTACAACCACCACCGGGGGAAAATCACATAGCTAACAATGCGGCACAAAGAATGGATGCTGTCGAACACCTGCAGTACGCCACGGTTAGGTGCGAGGCCCATGAAAACGCGCGCACCGCCGCTGGACCACCTGAACGGTGCCGCACCGCACTACATCAATAATAACAAAACGCCGCCATTGTGCCCAGTGAATATGGCCGCTGTGACGTAATTTCCGCCATATTTTTTTACGCCCTGCGCCGGCTGGGCATGCCCTCTCCTACTTTTCCTTCCTCCGTGGCTCGGCCGCAGTTCTCCCGAGGACAGGTCTGCCGATGCGTTTTGCTAGTATTTTCGGTATGTCAAGGCATGTTTACACCAAAGAGACACGGCACTGACACAACCCCGACGAATACACGAGGCAGATGCAGACCATCAGCCGACGAGTCGCCCTTCGACGAAGTCGCCAGACCCCATGGTCACACTAGGTCGACGACGACGACGCCTCAAAAGACAGCATGTTGCCGTAGCATATGACAGACCAAAAACACCAGCAAAATGCATCGGCAGACCTGTCGTCGGCGTGTCGTCCGGATATCTGCGGCTGAGCGACAATTTGCCGAAGCTTTGCTTTAAATGACCACGAATGGGGGGAAGTCTTGGGGGAAAATAACAATGCCCCCTCCACGGCTTCCACGACATTTGAATAGGTATCTTGTACACCCCACGAAAACCATTTCTTCGCTTCCATTTTGTGTCCACGCACCCCTATGCCTCGACGCCGTGGATTTTGGCGGGGGCTGCACCACATAGCCGCAGAGAGACAATGGCAGAGCAGGGAGCACGGCTGAAAATGAGGTGCAAGTGTGCAAGTTTAGTTGGTGTCGCTGCATGTGCCTCTATTGTGACTACAAAATTGGACAACGAAAGGCTGTGAGCACGACGCTTGGACGGGACACTTATCCCCGCATTTTCCTGGAAGAAGCTTGCGCACCAGTGGTCAAGCGAGCAAGGTGGCCTTTTAACACCTTGCTCGCTTTATTATCGTGCCTTAGCGGAAGACCGGCAGGGGAGTCACGATCACTCCTTTCTGCGAGGTGGCCTCAACGTTAAACCGGGCCGCTGGAAAGGTTCCCATCAAACCAGGACATGTCTTCACCCTAACGCAAACACCGGCGTTTTCGGGTGGTTGGAATTAAACGTGACCGTAATTTTTTTAAAAGCCAAACCCACACATCCTGACGAACTCAACCTCTGGAGTTCTCGAGATCATGTCACCGAAGCTTAATACTTGCACGTTGGCATCGTGTGGTGCAGTTGTGGTTCCCATTGGATATCAATCTGGACCGTGCTTCCCATCGGATGTCTCAAGTGGCCCGCTTCTCCCTTTCTGTTGCACGGAGCACTCAGACGACAAGGCACTGGATTGGCGGGAGCTGCTGTCACGACTTCTCCGGCATCAAGTGTTGGCGGAGGCGCGCCCATAAAAGCCGAAAGCGTTTGTACTGAAGTATGAGATATGAAGCTAAATGGAATAAGTAAAATAGGTTCGTCTTTTAACTGTGTAAATAAACCTATGTTCTTTTAGGAACGCGTCTCCTCTCTGGAAAACATCGGCTATGCGGCGACGACGGGGACCAGCTATACCATTATCTCACTAAACTCCGCTCTTTATTACGGACTGTTAGCATTTCGTCACCATGTAAATGCCCCCTCCTTCCCTTTGCTGTCGGAGAAGGCGAGCTGCACAAACACTTTACCACCGCGATGGCTGGTGACTCCAGTGAATTAATTGTGAATCAAGGTTGAATAAAGCAATTTAAGTGTGAATAAATAGTGCGTCTAGCAACTCAGTAAGTGTGAATCCGGAGTAAATGAAGGGGCCTAAATGTGAACCAGCATCAATTACGGCGTCACGGGTGCAATCCCAGCCACGGTGAAAAATGCCTTAAGTCCACGTATTGTGCGGGCAATGTCAAAACACACAACTTGGTTGAATGAAACTCCCGGAGCCTTTCTATACGGCGTGCCTCATAATCATGTAGTGGTTTCGGCATGTAAAACACTATTGTTATTATTGTTCATTAAACTGGATCTACCGACAATTAACGATGAAACTAATTAACGAACAATAAAGTGAACGAAGTTGCGATAAAGCGAACGAAGTGTGAATGAAGCGACTTCAGCGAAATCTGAGATTCCGATCATAATTACCAGCATGTAGCGCTGCTTTATGCTCGTGATGATGATCGGAATCCGAATTCACTCGTAGCGCGAGCATCGTGTGAACTCGGCTTTGCCCGATTAAATGCTGATGTGAAATAACATTCTGCAGATGTTCTACTGATTGCATGTCATGCGTTATAGCAGTGGCGACGAGGAAAACAATCGAGGATCTAAACGAGTCCTCGACCCGCAAAGCAATGAGCGGGGGACAGCCACTAGTGCTTGTAGGAATGTGGTCAACATTCCGAGTACGTTCCAAGTTCGCCTCGAAGCCTACTTCGAAGCGCAAGACACCACGGAGGCGATGAAGCGACGAGCGCTGTTAGTGGCCTCGCTACGGGAAAGTGCGATTCGAGTGATCCAGGGACGTTGTCATCCGAGGCTGATCAACGCACTCAACTACGACGACGCCGTAGGCCACCTTGAGTAGTGCTACGCCCCGGAAGCCAACTAAACAGCTTCAAGCTATAATCTTTTTCACGCGACCGCAAGAAGGAGACAGCATACTGGTATTTATTGCCGAAATAGGCAGCTGGCAGCAAAATGCAATTTTGTATCGTCTCTCGAACGCAGGCTATGAGACCGAATCGCACGTGGAGTATTAACTAAAGATGAGAGACGACACTTGCTGACATTGAGGAGCTTGACGCTAACGAAGCAGAGAATTTATTTGTATAAGCTCAAAATGCTGCTGCTAATGCTAGAAGCATGCATGCAATCAGCGGATCAGAGTACCATCTACTTGCGGCAGCAGAGCGCAACAAAAAAAAAAAAAAAGGGGGGGGGGGGGGGCAACCGAAGGCCGAAAGCACGACACCTTGCCTTAGGTGTGGCAGTGAAGCTCACTCGAACAAGCTGTGCTATCACGTCCGTACAGAATGCCGCGGATGCGGCGAAAGAGAACATGTCGCTAGAATGTTCAAAGTACAAGCTCAGTGGAAGTCCACTGACGCGTCGGCCCTGTAGCCAGCCTCCGACGATAGCTCGAAATATGAGACACCACTCTACACTGTAGTTTCTCACCAAACAACTAATGACCGCACTGCTAAATTAATTCTCAAAAAAATCACTTGAGATGGCGTGCCTGTCTCTAAGTTAGCCAATACTGGGTCACCAACCTATTAGCGCTATCCCAATTCTTCCCGTTCAAGCAGAATCAAAACGCGTATAGCCGCCTCCAAGCAGCACCACTCTCTTAATGCAAACACAAAGTGACTAAGCATGGAATACAGAGACTATTATAAGGTGAATTAAGCGTGAATAAAGTGAATTAAAAATGAATCAAGTTCAACAGAAGTGAACCAGGGGTAAATCAACGTGAAATAGAGCGAATAAAGTGAATTAGGTGACTAGCAAGAAGTAGCCAAGCGACTTTAGTGAGAATTAAAGAGTGTATCAAGTTACTTAAATGCGACCCAACATTCAATTAATTGGATAAGGAGAGAATCGGCTTACACGAACACAAACCAAGAGTAATCAACGCACGATAAAGCGAATCAAGTGAATAAAGTGTGAATGCAGAGTAAATAAAGTAACTGTAGTGCGAGTTTTGTCATTCCCCCCGTGGCCAGCGCTGCGGAGCAGTACTTGGTCACGAAAATCTATTGGCTGAACACTAGAACACAGACCTTGACACATCGCTTTCCTTGTACGCGGCAGCATTATTTGAAAGAGTGCGTAAATTACAGACAGTGCGCTGTCTGCACACGTTCTCCTGTGCACGCGCGACTGGGCGTTCACGTGTACTCACACAGTTATCATACGCATCTTCACGAGCTCACAGCGCACAACGATTTATAGGGCGTCAAAGCTAACGTAAGGCAATGTAATGTTCGTTTTATGGTAAAGTTATTTCGACTGATTAACCGAGTCATTCATACACGAACTGATGGCGAAAATGGACCAGTAAACAGACACCATACACTCCAACTGATATTTCACGAACTCTTGCTCGTATGTGCTTTTTAGTTCAAGTTTTTTATAGGTCGACTGCTGATTCAAAGGTCACGGAGACGAGCCCCGGTCGCGGCAGCTACATTTAAATGGAGGCGAACGTCTAGGGGCCAGTGTACTTTAGGTGCACGTAAAAGAACTCCCATGTGGTCGAAATATCCGGAGCCTTCCACTACGTTGTTCCTCATAATCGAACTACGGTTCTCGAACTTCAAATACCAATAATTATTATTTTGAATTTTGTTCAAAAACTCCGTGCATTTCAAAGCGCGCTGTGATGCATCGGCGAACACTGGCGCTGACTCAGACGCCGCGGCGGAGATTTCCGACAAGCAAAAACAAAAAAGGTAAGAGTCGATGAACGAACAACACAAAAGATCGAAGAAAAGACAGGGCCATTAGCATTGCCTTGACTCACGTCGTTCGCGGGATCGGCGGATCTATACCCGAGTCACGAGGCTTCCATCCAGTCACCTACGTCGATCAGAAAAAGCTTCCACGGGGAAGCCGCTGAAGCTCGGCGCACGCTCTCGCCGCGCTGGCAATTCGATCGGTCACGCTGCTGCGGGCGTCACGTCACGCCATTCGAGACGACAAGCTCGACGTTCAAGCCTCCGCTCGCATTCCGCAAATGCGAGCACGCAGCAGAGCGACATACGACGCCGCGCGAAACGCAGCGCCCGAATGGAAGCAACGAAGGAGACCCACTGAAAAAGCTCGTTACGGTAAAGCCGTCCAACACCCATCCGACACGACGACGGGCTCGGGCAATCGGAAGAATACCGAGAATGCTGCGAACGAGAAGGAGAAACCGCCCCGCCACATGCCTATAGACAGCGCGTGTTTCCTTCGTTGCCACAGTGAGTGGCTGCGATCCTTATCGAGATCTATCGATATCTATCTGCACCGGACAGCACGGGGCCGAAGCAGCAATCTTAGCAGAGAGCACGGCGCAGGCGTCAGCTTTCTCACCGCGGAATGCCTCTTGACGTATGCCGTAAGAAAACAAAAGCCGAGGTTGCGTCAGGATAACCGGCAGATAACGCGGGGCCAGCTGCCACGAGGAGCGTATCAGTTAAGCAACGCGTGCGGACGCAGATAGCGAACCGATAGGCCCTGCTGAAATGCGTAAGAGTTTCCAGCAGTTACTGCGAGTGACAGTGTTTTCAGGTGCCGCCGAATATGTTGATCTCTGCTGCCGGAATGACGTACCGTACCTCACGACAAGTCACTTCGGAGCGAAAGTCGTACTGTAGCATTGCCAAAGGTGGAGCACGAGATAACACTGAGGGCGAGCTTACGAGAATACTTCATTTGCTTTCGACGCCCATCAGCGCATCGGTATCAGTCGGTATTGTTTCAGCCGATAGCAGAGAAGCATACGGCCGGACATGGGTGCCTCCTCGCTCGTATAGTGCTCAGCGATCTTTTCTGCACGAAAAATTGCCCCACGGATATTAATGCGATGTGATGATACTGGAGCGTAACCTAAACTTCATCTAAGACTACCGAAGCTCCGAGGTGCCGATAACACTGTATACGTCGTCAGTTAAGCGAACTTTCGGATGAACGCAAGCTTCGTTTGGCAGGTGTTCGCCATTCGTCTTGGTCGATGTTTCGCTTCAATTTATTAGAAAAAATGAAATATAATGGCAGTATTTCTAACACTTGCGCAAAGAGGGGTGAAAAGAGGTAAAATGAAGACCGGAAAAATTAAGGAACATATCATAGCTCACGGCCAGCCAATACACCATTCATTTGCGGGGCGCGTACACAATCTACGTATCTTCGCTTTTATTCATTCAAATTTCCATAGGTTTTTCTTTGTTTCAAATAAAACTGAATTACCGCTTTCTTTTCTCTTCTTTCACATCGCGCGCTTCGCTTCGAGCGGCCGACTCGGCATCACTTAAATTTTCGCGTTTTCTATAGTATCACTTGTTAATCTCCCCGCCGTTCTCTCATCATTCTCCTGCTCCAATAGAACTGACCTATCAATGATTCGTGTACCAGAACCTGCACGACGCTTTTTCGCGAGGCGTCTCTGCTAAGTGCTAGATCTAACAACACTTGGTCGAGCGAGCACGTTAATAAATAATAATTTTTTATTTACTTGCCAAGAACACGGTGTAATTGTAAGGCACAGCGAATAGTGGCTGCCGTGCACGAAGTATTAATTTCGGCCATCTTGGCCCCTTTAAAGCGCACACAAATCTAACAAGAAAGTGGGGAAAGACGAAGTATGTAGGGAAGATGTGTTTCAGTATTGACGTGAAACGTGGAGAGGGGTGAAGTATGCTATGTTTCTGGAGAGAAACTTCTCTGATGAGGCACTGGTGGCGCCAAGCCTGAAACCGGGCATGTAGGGAAGGGTGTTTAAGCTCCGCTTAAGTCATCGGCTATATTGGCAGGGCTTGTTGGCTCCTACTTCTTAGAGGACAAGTGACGAGTTGTGTGCTTTGCCCAGCTTTGGTGGCGCATATATCCGTTTTGGTGGACCGTGACTACACCACATACCGCGACGACATTAGACGCCGACAAGCCTCGTCGTGTCATCACCTTCATCTGCTCTTGTTTTTGTGCGCCTGACAGCGTTCTGCCATACGTAAAGAAGCCTTGTTCACGATCAGTCTATTTAAGAAGACTTTCGTGTGGAAGATGGAACGTCGTTTCTCTTAAGCTTTTATTAGTCAGCGTTCAGAACTTTTGTTAGTCGAGCTTCCTGTAGAAAGTTTGCGTGATTCCTAGCATCCAAGTTTTTGGTTAGGTGGTTCTACAAGATTTGATGATACCAGCGCAACTGCTATAGACGAGGACAATGCCGAAGAAATGATACCGGCAAGAGCTGACATTGATGTGGAAGTATCTAATGCAAACGAGAGATGTACATGGTATCGCTGTCAGTATATTCGAAAATTCTTAAACGTGATGATTACGAGTAAGCAAAGATTTGGTCTGTATGTATGTGTGTGTGTGTGTGTGTGTGTATCCCTCAAGAGGAAGGTATACAACAGCTGTATCTTGCCGGTACTTAGCTACGGAGCAGATACCTGGAGACTTACAAAGAGGGTTCAGCTTAAATTGAGGACGACGCAGCGAGCAATGGAAAGAAAAATGGTAGGTGTAACCTTAAGAGACAAGAAGAGAGCAGAGTGGATAAGGGAACAAACGGGGTTAAGGATATCATAGTTGGAATGAAGTAGAGAAAATGGAAATGGGCAGGCATGTAGCGCGTAGACAGGATAACCGCTGGTCATTAAGGGTAACGAACTGGATTCCCAGAGAAGGCAAGCAAGTTAGGGTGAGACAGAAGGTTAGGTGGGCAAATGAGATTAAGAAGTTTGCGGGTATAAATTGGCAGCAGCAAGCACAGGACCGAGTTAACTGGCAGAACATGGGAGAGGCCTTGTCCTGCAGTGGACGTAGTCAGGCTGCTGCTGATGATGATGATGTGTATGTATGTATGTATGTATGTATGTATGTATGTATGTATGTATGTATGTATGTATGTATGTATGTATGTATGTATGTATGTATGTATGTATGTATGTATGTATGTTTAGGATGAATTATATATTTACTGTTAGGTCGACAAACACGCTTTGTTTTCGGATCGCTCTCGTCAAAACCCCCCGCTGTTTTTCATCTGTGACAAAACTGCCTCTTGCCTCTGCATGAAAAAGGCTGCCACTATTTTTAATGCCGGTATTCATCAATTAAACTCACATTGATGAATTTAATTGGGCTTGGTAGCAAAGTTTTGCTGACTTCAAGCACAAAATTTCTTCACAAAATTTGCGATCTTAACAATGAAGCGACTAAATAACGTTTCTAAACCAAATGATATAATAATCACGTTTTGACGAAAATAAAGTGTGGTACAGAGTTACAATTATCTGCTTTTAAGACTAATAAACCAACACGAAATATGTTCCACTTGTTGTCGCAAGATTTGTCTACCGTGCAACTACCCATATCGGATTGCTGATCTTCTTTTTGAAAGCTCATATTTCCACCACACCAAACGGAAATCTCGTTTTGACAACAAGCAGCAAAAAAAAAAAAAAAACAGAGAGAAAAGCTTATACGTAAACAAAATGTTCTTTGAAGTGCTCGCCTAAAAGTTGCCAGTAAATGCGGAGCTATATACACGCAAAAAAAATTATTTACGTGTGCTGTAGGTGAGAAAGGGCTAAACTATGTAACTAATATACTGCTTCATTCACTGACCCAATGCGTTTCAACGATCAGAAGTGAATGCTATAATTCGCAGAATGACAAGGCATATATAATATATATATAATATATATATTATATATATATATATATTATATATATATATATACCGACCCATAAGGGGAAACCCTTTCCTTACGCACGCTGTCACGGACCCTCCCGCCACCGCGGCGACAATCTTGTGGCCCGACACACGTCGAGAACTGAACAGCACGTGATAAGAAACGTATGTGGACGTACACGGACAGTTGCAATGGTTTCGTTCTCGTTGTTGACAGTGGTTCTTCCTCTTTTTTACTTTCTTATTTTTCGTCTTTTTCTTCCCATATATATTATATATATTATATATTATATATATATAGTATATATATATATATATATATATATAGATATATATATATATCTATATATATATATATATCACTTCAAAAGTAACATCTGCCGGAAAACGCGACGAGCATGTGATGGACAGCGCGAGATTCCACTCAATGGCAACAAAGTAAACACTGCTGTTGTAAAAAAAATTCAGATTTTGTTAGCTTCCGAATTCAAATAAAGCCACGGCTACAAGCAAGCTTCGGCCTTAATGCTGTTTATATGTATAATTATCCACTATACAACACTAGCTTGGTTAGTATACAAAGCACTAATTGAATTTGCTCTTTTTATTGAACATGTTGCGTTGAACTTGCAGGGCCGAAAAAAAAAAAGCATCGGACGGATTGTATTACGCAATCCGCGAGGTACACCAGCTGTTAGAGTAAGCGTGAAACTCTCTAATATTTATTCCTCAGTGACTCTGGCTCACTATGGAACAAAAAACTTGGATCATTTCGCCGAAAGGAACTCTGATGGGATGCGAAGCAGCAGTGTTGCGCACGGGTTGAGCGGCGCTAACGCGGTTACTGCGGTGAGCGCTGAAAGATTCGTTTGAAGCCATGGCTGTGGCGTAGGTCTTGTAGGTGAGACGTACAGACACGTTTCAACGCGTACGTTAAGCGCGCGTCAGGCTTATTGCGCGTAAACCTACCTGTCGGCGGTGTAGTGAGCGGCGGTCGCGTCCGGTGTTGCGGGCGAATGGACGAGGCAGCAGCTGCGGGCGCCGCGGCGAGCGCGCGGCAGGCGAGAGAATGACGTCATCGCGGACTGCGAGGGGAGCGTGCGGTCAACGCGCAGCAGCGGCGCGTCCTACTTGGCACCGCGCCAACACCTGCGGCGCGCTTGTACGGAGGGACAGCGTTACACAAGCTAGTCAAAGAGCTGCTAAGCACCTAAAGAAAATGAAAAGGAATGAGTGGGATAGCAACAAATTGGAATGTAATACTAAGTAAGAAGAGCAGCGAACTCCTTCAGGATCGGACCTGGCGTCATGTGCAGCACGTCGTAAGACAAAACAGCCAGTAAATAAGCAGTTTTCGCGCTGTCTGTCAGTTAAACGCAAAGTAGGCGGATATAGGACACCACATACACAGGTATCTGCTGGTCTCTGTCAAGATAGCGAGCGTGTCATTTGTGCTTGAGCAGCACCCCTTTACAGCATTCGTAAGCTTTCAATCGCACGTAGAGCACACGATTACTGGGGCAATGTTATCGATTTGGACTATAT